AACTTTGATGGGAAACCCGAAAGGGAAAGCCCAAAGAGAACAATATCGACCAGTGGTGAGCTTGGACTTGGACAGTGTGAAAATGTTGTAATGTCTTGTTTTTCAGGTGGGCGGTCCTTACTGGGAGGTTCCTCTTGGAAGAATGGATTCCACAACTGCGGGTTATGAACTAGCAGATGCAAATCTTCCCTCTGCCAATGAGGGGCTGCTGAGTATCATCTCCAAGTTTCTTTATCAGGGTCTCTCTGTCACTGACATGGTAGCTCTATCAGGTATTGTAGTGTTACAATTTGATTTGGGAACCCTGAGGTTAATCATAAGTTTCGTTCTCGAGTTTTCGAGGTTCTGTGTGTTTAGCTTCTCGATAAAGCTTTCGAGGTTGTGTTTATGTACTCGTTGTACCTCGAAAAGCTTTCGAATAAATCCTTGAACATTCAGTTTCGTGAATAATAGTGTAATGGCCCAAGCCCACCACTGCTAGCAGATATTGTCTTTGTCTAACTTCCCCCTCAAGGGTTTTAAAACGCGTTTTCTAGAGAGAGGTTTCCACACCCTTACAAAGAATGTTTCATTCTCCTCCCTAAGCGACGTGAGATCTCACAATCCACCCCCTACGAGGCCTAGAGTCCTTGTTGGCACTCATTCGTCTCTCCAATCGACGTGGGATCTCACAATCCACCCCTTTCGTGGCCCAGCGTTTTCGCGGGCACTCGTTACTCTCTCCAATTGATGTGGGATCTCACAAATAGCCACTTTTAGGTAGACTTGAACGTTAAACTTATAGAATTATCAGTAGAGACAAGGTAGACACGGAACTCGAACTTCGTGACTTATTATAGTCTTTTTGAAGTATAGAGATTAACTAGACATTATTTTGGAAGTGTAAGCGGCAAAAACACGAAAAATTTCTCGTCGTATTCTGATACCATGTTAAATACGTTCAGGAGCACACACGATCGGGATGGCGAGGTGCGAGAATTTCAGAGAAAGGATTTACGGGGATTTTGAAGCAACTTCCAACAACGGTAACAACCCGATCTCGAAGTCGTATCTCGACAAGTTGAGATCTATCTGCCCCCGAGTTGGGAAAGCTGCAGAGAACAACATAACAGCAATGGACAATGTGACACCAGAGGTGTTTGACAACTCCTATTTCCACATGCTGATGAGAGGAGAAGGGCTTATGAACTCAGACCAGGAACTGTATTCAAGCCTTCTTGGCATGGAAACAAGAGCACTGGTGAAGAAATATGCTGCTGAACCACTTGCTTTCTTTCAGCAATTCTCTGATTCCATGGTGAAGTTGGGGAATATCACTAACTCTGATAGCTATTTCACTGGGGAAGTTAGAACAAACTGCAGGTTTATCAACACTTGATATCATTTTTTGTGTTCCTTTGAAGAAATTGCTATCTGTTCTTTAACATTGCTATCTGTTCTTTAACATTGCTATCTGTTCTTTACATTGTATGAAATTCTGGGTTTGTTTCTTGGAGTTTAGAAATCTTTGTAATGTTTTGTATTCTTGGATTTGAATAATGAAATCTTCGGAAACTTTGAAGTTCATATCATTCGCTTTAACCTATTATGTATCTCTATTAGCCTCACGGTTTTAAAACGTGTCTACTATGGAGAAGGTCTAGTCCTACTCTGACCAATCCTTGTTAGTCGCACCTATTATGGAGAGGGTTTAGCCCTACTTCGATCAGTGCATCGCATCGTCTGATGACTAACACTTGTACTATTTGTAACTGTTCAAGTTTAGGGTCTAGCCCTACTCCGATCAATCTTCGTCAGTCTCACGGTTTTAAAATGCGTCTACTATGGAGAGGGTCTAGCCCTACTCTGACCAATCGTTGTCAGTCTCACGGTTTTAAAATGCGTCTACTTAGGAGAGGGTCTAACCTTACTCCGACTAATATTCGTCAGTCTCACGGTTTTAAAGTGCGTCTACGATGAAGAGGGTCTATCCCTACTCTGACCAATCGTTGTCAGTCTCACGGTTTTAAAATGCGTCTACTTAGGAGAGGGTCTAGCCTTACTCCGACTAATATTCGTCAGTCTCACGGTTTTAAAATGCGTCTACTTTGGAGAGGGTCTAGCCCTACTGTGACCAATCTTCGTCAGTCTCACGGTTTTAAAATGCGTCTACTTAGGAGAGGGTCTACCCTTACTCCGACTAATATTCGTCAGTCTCACGGTTTTAAAATGCGTCTACTTTGGAGAGGGTCTAGCCCTACTGTGACCAATCTTCGTCAGTCTCACGGTTTTAAAATGCGTCTACTTTGGAGAGGGTCTAGCCCTACTCCGACCAATGCATCGCATCGTTTGATGACTGACTCTGATAACATTTGTAACAGTTCAAGTTCATGGTCTAGCCCTACTCTGATCAGTGCACACATCATCCAGTGACTAGCTCTGCTACCATTTGTAACCGTCCAAGCCCGCCACTAGTAGACATTGTCCGTTTTGACCCGTTACGTATTGTCATCAACCTCACAGTTTTAAAATGCATTTACTAGAGAGAGATTTTCACACTTGAGGAATGCTTCGTTCCCTCTCCAACCAATGTGAGATCCAGTGATGGACAATTTGATTTGATTCCCAGATCTCATCATAACTCTCGTTCTAGCTCGACATTAAGAGCACAGGGCTCGATATCTAAATAATTAAAAAATTAATTTAAAACATACATAATAATTTGATTCTATTTATTCAATTTTAGGTGTTTCTTACTCTAATTATGGCAAGAAAAGAATCTTAAAAGGAGTCCATTTCTAATGAACAAAAAAATTCCCATATTTGGTAGCATATGATTTAAATACAATTTTTTTTTGTTTCTAAATTAATTTTGAAAATGCATAAAAGGAATATATTGCATACCCTAAACCCTAATTATACTTTTTTCCAAAGTCGTGTTTGTACGTTATATATATATATATATATATATATATATATATATATATATATATATATATATATAAT